CCCACAACAAAACATGTCAAAATTAAATTCCAAAGTACGGGTTATCAAATATCATAGAGCAAGCTCAAATGGTAAAATTACAATATCGGACATACCACATAAATTCTAAAGTGTTGCGAGTGGTGATCCAGCATCGTTGAAGTAAGATGTGAGATCAACATTCGAGTTATCGTACATGTTCAAGAAAGGCAAATCCTGTATTCACATTGAAATCACATGTGAAGCATCTTTAACAGATATTTAATCAATTCTTTATTGCTTCAGAATAACGGAGACAAAAAAAAAATCAAGATATTTACATACCAGCAGTTCCTGGGCCGACTTTCTCTCATTTGGGTCTTTCTTTAAACTGACATGGATAAATGAGAAGGCAATTAAAAAACAAAAACCAAGATTGGGCTTGGAAAAATTGTACAATCGAACATGTTATAAAATCCTCTTGAAAGAAAAATATACCAATGGCATAGACTATCATTCTAATAATGAAGGAAATCGATAAATGATCTCCCTTGACAGACTACATATTTGAAGATAACTTTACTTTAATACAAAACTTGCCAACTCATGAGCACGAAAAATTCTAGAACATAAGGCAATAGTATCAAGTAATTCAAAACATAATCCTTACCATGCAGAGATAAATGAACAAAACTCAGGAGAGAACTGATTTGAAGGTGCACAAGGTGGTGGTTGTTCAACAATTTCTTCCATGAGCTCATAAAAATTTGTCCATCCTGCTGCCTGATCTGGTGGGGAATATGGGAACTGACCAGTTGCACATTCAAGCAACACCAGTCCCAAACTCCAAATATCACTCTTATTGCCATAATTGCCACCAATAATTCTCTCAGGCTAGAAAGGAAGAAAATTTAGAACAAATAAGAATAACATAAAACTTAGCAACTAAAAGAACATTATTTTGGTAAATTAAATTACTTACAGACATATAGTTGTATGTGCCAACAAAAGTGTTTGCTAATCCCGAGGTGTTCGTCATTATTGCACTCACACCAAAGTCAGTGATTTTGACTTCTCCTCTATGATTTATTAACAGGTTAGAAGGCTTTAAATCACGGTGGATAATGTGTTTTTCATGATGAAGATAAATCAAACCCTTGAGCACCTGCATTAATGAGAAGAATTTAACACTGCAAACCATAACATTTAGTATAAACTCTAATTGATTTGAAGTTCAAATTTACAAACCTGCTTACAAATCATTGCAAGACAGGGTTCATGGATTGATTTAACCTTTCTCAGAAAGTCTGCTAAGGATCCACCATCCATATACTCTAAGATGATTGAAATGCAGCCATTGTTATAGAAAGACTGATAACAAACAACAACATATGGACACTGGGAGGACTGATTTATTTTCAATTCTTTTGCAATCTGCTTCCGAGATGACTCCTCAATATTCATTTGAATAACCTAACAAAGTGATACATGTCAGAAATTAAGAGTTGTGAAGACAACATGGAGATGCAAAACTAATAACTCATTTCTATTGTAATTTTTTTACAACCAAATCTGTTTAGAAGAATGGATTCTATCACAAAAAGAAATTCTGGACATGCTTCATGAATTCTTAGTTTAGCCTACAACAGTTGCCTTGCTAGAACAGGATACTGATCATAATACAATTGTGAATCATGATGAAGGAGAAATTCTTTGTTATCTTTATTATGATCAAACCTATCAATAAGTTTTCAAGGAACCAAGGCCCCTGACTTGAGTTGACAAATGGTAAAATGATAAAATAATCGAAGTCACACTTTTGCAACCAAGAGAGGTTCCAGCTTCACAACATGTAATTTCATGACGGTAGAGGTGATATAAACAAAACCAAGTACATGTTGTGTTCGAAGAGCAACTAGTTCTTGCTTAACTAAAGAACATGCATCAGAACATTCTAATACCACAAATATACAGAAGGTGTTAAAAACTTGGACATGGAGATGTACCTTCAATGCAAAAAACTGGCCAGTCCATTTGTGTTGGACCAGCTGCACAATTCCACCATTACCCTTGCCGATGACTTTTATGGCATCTATATCTTCCAAACTCAGTTGATTATCATTGTCAGCTTCCGATGGCTTAATAGGCGGAGGCTAAAACCAAAAACAAACACAAAATTAAGATCTTCGAAGCATAAAATTTACTAAAATAAAAATCAAACAGCTTTCCTCAATTTGGTAATATCTATTTAACAAGATCAATTTAGTGATACGTGAAAAGTAAAAAATAATATCCGAACAACAAAAAAACACTAAAGAGGAAAAGGAAAAATGAAAATTCTTACAGCTTCAGGTTCAGATTGAGAGACGATTCGAACACCGTCCTTGTTGACTAGAAGATCGCCGTCTTTGAATGTGCCGCTTTCCGTTCTGCCATTAAAAAATTCATCACCAAAAATCAAATTTCTAAATAAAGAAAAGCAGAAACATTGAATGAGCGGACCTAATAATTAATTAAATTAATCATTACAGAAATTTGGAGAAGGAGATCTCGTCTGCAGGAGGGAGGGAGAGCTTCAAATTAGGGATTGAAATTCCCTTTCCCTTCGTCATTTTCTCTTTCCAGCTGATTGGATGCAAATCAGTTCTCGCTATTGGAGAGGGCTTCCAATTTTAACTTGATTTTGTTAACGAAATATTTTAAAATATTTAGGGTAAATTACGCATTTAGTATCTAAACTATCAGTTTTTTCGTTTTAGTACCTAAACTTTTATTTTTTTTAAATCATATCTAACGTTTAGTTATTATTTTATTTTAATACCTTGCAGTTAAAAATTAACGTATTTAGTACATAAACTATCAAATTTGGTCTGTTTTAACACCTAAATTTTCATTTTTAAAAAATTAACGTTAAATTTTGAATATGTACTAAAATGAAACAAAAAACTAAACTTTATATACTTTTGAAAAGAAATAAAAATTTAAGTAATAAAGTGTATCAAAACTATAGTTTAAATACTAAATACATAATGTATCCAAATATTTATCACTTCAATGTTATTTAATTAATAAGATATATTTGTTGTTCTTTTTTTCTTTCTAAAAGAGTAAGATATATATGTTCGAATGGTAAGCTTAGACTCTTAATAATTTTGGGGTAAACTGCTTATTTGATCTCTCATCTATTACTTAATTTTTGTTTTGGTCACTCAAGTATTTTTTTCAAATCATACCTAACATTACGTTTTAATTTTATTTTGGTCACCCATTATTAAAAAAATTGTGACATCGGCATGATATTTTTTAAATTATTTTTTAATATTGATATGACACTATCTTATAATGGCATGTCAGTATATGACGAGCAACTAAAACATAATCAAAACGTAATGTTAAATATGATTTTGAATTCAATAAAAAAGGTATGATTATAAAAAATAGTAATAATTGGATAGTCAAAACAGAAACTAAATAATATGTAAATTACCAAATATATAATTTACCCTAATTTTTGTTGGAAAACTACTGCTACTAGAATCAATTTATGTTAATCATTATTCAGTAGTATATTTTTTAGGAGAATTCTAACTAAAAAATATATGGTTACAGTACATAAATAGTCTCACGATTATAAAATATTATTTTATTAAGTTCTTAAACTATTAAAAGTTATAAAATAATACTCTAATTATAAAGTGTTGTTTTGTTGAGTCCCTCGGCTATAAAAAGTTATAAAATGATCATTCGACTATTTATTATGTTTCAAACTCATTTTTTTTGTTAAAAATTGACGATATTCTGAGTTAAACGCTAATATGCTAAATGTGATATGATAAAATCTAATCCTAGAATCTCAAACGACTATCATATTCCATTCATCATGTTAACATTCAGCTTCGTCAATTTTTTAAATTAGAACGTAATCAATAGTCGGATGACCAATTTATAACTTTTAAGGATCGAAAGACTTAACAAAGTAACGTAATCAAGATTAACTGTCTGGAGAAATTCTCAATCGAAGCTAGGGATTCAGAAAAGTTGTATGAATTCATAATTTCCTTTCAAGATCGTGAACAGTTTTACGAGATGATAGATGGACATAATCTCAAATTTTCAACATGGTCTCAAATAATACATGTACTGAATTTTGTTCTCATTTCTTTAACGGTTGGATTTTTTTGCTCATATCTTATAAAGAAGTTAATATATATATATATATATATATATAATCATTTATATTCGATTTATTAATCAACTAATTCGTTTCCTATTTGATTGAAGATGAAGTTCATAAAATGTTTTCTAGGAGATGAGGGATTTGTCTAGGGATGGGCATGGGGTCGGGTTTTGGTCCATCCGATCCGACCTGAGAACAAGGAATCATCCACCTGAGATCCGACCCGACACATCCCGACCCGAACCCAACCGGGTCGGAACCCGTCGGGTTCGATTCCCATGCCTATCCCTAGATTTGTCGAGCATATGGCGATATATTTAATATGTTTTACCTTAGATGTTTCATAAATAGGGAAATCAAAACATTTGAGATTTTTTTCAAATTTAACCCGAAAACGAGGGATTCATACAGTGATTTATTCAATAAAAGCAAGACTAATATAGAAGAATGAAGATGCAAGTGGACCAGAAGAATGTTTAATTTTATTAATTTTAGATCAATTATGTTATAGTATATGAGAGATAATATTAGTGATAAACACAATTTAGCATTCCTTTGCAATGAATTATATTTTTATTCTAATCATCACTATTAGAACATTAAACTAAATGAAGTTAAGCTTGGCAATTGGCAGTTATAATCATTTCTTGCTTTTACAAAACATCTTTCACCATATTTACAACCATTAAAATTTTGAATTTAATTTTACAAAATTCAGATTTTGTATAGCAGCTTAATATATATAAACACTATAAATTCTTAAATCAAGCCTACTGGTTCGGACTCTCTAGGAGAAAAATTAACTCTTGTCCTTTGTCCCATACAAATCAACAGCTAAGAGGGGGAGGACTTACTGATTCGCCGTGGAATTTTACAGCTTTCAAGGCTGGTGGTGTATCTCCGACGAATTGTTCGCCATCACCGTTATTTCCGAAGGTTGATCATTTTGTGGTACCGGCTGCATCTGAATCTCGGATTTCTTCTTCTCCTTCACGATTACCTGTGTAGGCATCACTTCTAACAGGAAGCTTCCTCCATTCCATACTGAAGCAGAAACCTTGAGTATTTGGAAAATGACATGGCATTTGTATGATAGGAAGATGGGGACAGTGAGTGCCATGGTTGCCACTGTAAAAATGGCTTGGAATAGAATGTACATCAAGAAACGGTTTTGATACCCGAGCAGCCCGTTTAAACGCCACCATATGTTGTTTGCTTTCTTGGCCTTTTTAGAAAGTTCCCTATATATGAAGTAATCATCTGAGCAAAGAGAAGCAAAGTAGTGTAATATGGGAATAAAGAGAGCGTACCTGTAAGATGTCATGACTTCAGGATCTCTTAACAGTCTCTGCCGACGCAGCACGTGGACGATGAAGAAATAAAGAACTTGCCAGAGGGTATAAGCGGCTAAGGGTACCCCAAACAGCCAAGTCCAAAGGAAAGATTGGTCTTCTACGTAAGGCCATGAAATTCTATTAGATGTTCCTTCAGGTTGCATGGCTTTGAAGGTTGCTGGATTCCACCATCGAATTGTGAAAAAAAACAATACCTGAAAGCAGAAATGGTTACATTCGGCATCAACAATATTCAAAATAACAAGCAAGAAACATAAGCTTCGCCCCTCTTTCTATGGATGGTGGTCTTTTCCAGAAACACCTGCTCCAAAATTGTGCAACACATTCCTGCCATATTTCCCCGAATGTGCTACCAACATAGCCATCAAAGGCACATAGCATCTACACTTGTTACAGGTCAAGTAAGATTTCTTAGGCCTCAAGCAAAGAAAAATGATCCACCCACGGGGGTTTGCAGATGTCTTTCAATCTCTACAGAACTGATGTTATATCTTATTATTTTTCTTCCAATATGTGCAGAAACATGACAAGTACGGTATTGTATGGTAGTTCTTCTGAAGTTTTATATGCTAGAGTTCACATTTTTTTATTACCACTGGTTATTTTTCTTTAAAGTGTACAGGAACATGGCCAAATAAAAAATTGTCCCAATTTACATACACTTCTGAAGTGCTATATGCTTGAGTTCAGATTTTGGTTGTGTAAAGAGTTTATTTCAGAACAAATAAGATAAATCAAATTATCAAACCAGGCATAAGCAAAATATGAATTAGAAAAAAAAATGCCTACATTCAACTCCTTGTTAAACAATATACTTTAAAAGTTTTTCCACAAGGCATGTTCAACTAATGGAAAAATTCCAGATACTTAACATATCAGCTTTCTGAATCTCCTCTGAAGGCTGAGGGTTGATGCCATAGAGGCCCTCTATTCAGAACCAGAAGGTCAAGTTTATACAGAGGAATCAAGTCTTTTCTACTTTGGTTATTCCAGTTTGAGCAAGTACAACTCATTGAATGGGCAGAAACAACCAAGGAACATTTAATGATAATCAACAGTATGTAGGACATGTACAACAAAAATAATTGGAATCTGGAGAGTAGGAAAATCTCATGTATGTCTGCCTATGTACTATGGCAGAAAATAACATTCCATTGATATCCTAAATGATCATAATAGGTGGAAATTTTAAGATGGTTTTTATGAGCATGGTAACTGGTAAGTTTATATAACTTGTCAGCAATTTCATTCTGCAATAACCTTAGCTATTGTTACCATGTATGACAAGGAAAGTACACATACACAATTGAATGTTTAACAGCCTTTAAATCCAAGTTGCCCCCTGTTAAAAGTTTCAAAGTTTGGCAACCAACTTTGGAAAATGTTTTTTTCAAAGTTTGGTAAATGTTTCTTTGAAAAATGTTTTTCAAAGTTTGGTAAAATTTTGGTAGATGTTTGTTGAAAATAGGAATGGGTAAATTCACTTTAGTCATTACACTTTAGGGTATTTTCAAAGATTAGTCCCTAAGTTTCTACTATAAATACCCTTACCCATTTAGCTTCAAAATCATCCCAAAACATTTCTTTCTTCCTATACTAGAGAGCTTTCTTGTGAGTAGTGAGTGTTTTGTAAACACCTGTAAATTTTCTCTCTTAGTAAAAGATTTGCAGCAGCCCGGAGACGTAAGCACAATTGGCTGAACTCCGTTATCAATTTTCGGGTATTATTTTTCTGCTTTTATTTCGCATTCTCACTAATATGGTTATAGGGAAATTACTTGTACTTGGTTTATTTCCTAACAACTGGTAATCAGAGCTTTTGGTTGTGAATTTTGTCAAATTTTCTACGAGGTTACTATTCATTACTATTCACGTGAATAGTGAATTTCGTGAATAGTGAAATTCGGTCGGCGATACGAGTTTGTCGACGGTGGTGTTCTAATACACGGTGATTCGCAAGAATTGTCAGAAACGATCCAAACGAAGCCAGATTCGAGTGGGAGCGATGGCTGCAGACGAAGGGAAGGTGAAAATTGAAAAGTTCGATGGTGCGGACTTTGGCTTTTGGAAGATGCAGATTGAAGATTTTTTGTACCAGAAAAATCTATATCAACCTCTCTCAGGAAAGCAACCAGAGGGCATGAAGGATGAAGATTGGGCTCTTCTCGACAGACAAGCCCTCGGAGTTATCCGACTGACATTATCCCGCAATGTTGCTTTTAACATAGCAAAGGAAAAGACCACGGCGGGTCTTATGGCGGCTCTCTCCAGTATGTACGAGAAGCCATCGGCCTCAAACAAAGTTCATTTGATGAGGCGATTATTCAATTTGCGGATGGCGGAAGGGGCATCAGTGGCACAACACCTAAATGAACTCAACACAATCACAACCCAGTTGAGTTCAGTGGAAATTGATTTCGATGATGAAGTTCGAGCTTTAATTCTCTTATCATCTCTACCAGACAGTTGGAATGCTACTGTTACAGCAGTCAGCAGTTCGTCGGGAAACAGCAAATTAAAATTCGACGATGTTCGGGATCTGGTATTGAGTGAAGAAATTCGACGAAGAGAATCGGGTGAAGCATCAACCTCCTCAGCCTTGCACACGGAGTCTAGAGGGAGAACTTCAGAAAGAAATTCAAATCGTGGAAGATCAAAATCCAGAAGGGGCAAATCAAGAACAGGAAATAAAGATTTTACCTGTTATAATTGCGGCAAGAAGGGTCACTTCAAAAGAGATTGCCGAGCACCGAAGAAAAATACCGGCGCACAGGAATCTGCCAATATGACGGAGGAGACAGGTGATGCCATGATTTTAAGCGTCAACAGTCCGATTGAATCATGGATCTTGGATTCAGGGGCATCTTTTCACTCCACCCCATGCCGAGAAATCATGGAGAACTATGTCAGTGGTGATTTTGGGAAGGTTCATCTAGCTGATGATGAAACCTTGAAGATCGTCGGAAAAGGAGACATCCGACTAAAGCTGCCAAACCAGACCACCTGGAAGCTAACAGGAGTGAGACATTCCTGGCCTCAAAAGAAATCTGATTTCTGTTGGGCAGCTTGATGGAGAAGGATATAGAACAACTTTTTCAGGCTGTGAATGGAAGATTACCAAAGGAGCACTCGTCATTGCTCGTGGTAAGAAGACCGGTACTCTCTATGTAACCTCAAATTTAGAGAATATCATTGCAGTAGCAGATGCTGATGGAAAATCAAACCTATGGCACCAAAGGCTCGGCCATATGAGCGAGAAAGGAATGAAGATACTTCTGTCAAAAGGGAAGCTGCCGGATCTAAAGAATGTAGATGTCGGACTATGCGAGGATTGCATCTTTGGAAAACAAAAGAAAGTCAGTTTTACAAAGATTGGCAAGACTCCCAAGGCAGAAAGGTTAGAATTGGTTCATACTGATGTATGGGGACCATCCCCTGTTCCATCTCTTGCAGGCTCACTATATTATGTCACCTTCATCGATGATTCAACAAGGAAGGTGTGAGTTTATTTTCTGAAGAAGAAATCAGAAGTCTTTGATACCTTCAGAAAATGGAAGGCCATGGTGGAAAATGAGACTGGTTTGAAAGTCAAGCGGTTGAGGTCTGACAATGGAGGAGAGTACAGAGACAGTAGATTCAGAGATTTCTGCGCAAACAATGGGATCAAGATGGAGACAACAGTTCCCATAACACCGCAGCAGAATGGCGTAGCAGAGCGCATGAACAGAACTCTGAATGAACGTGCCAGAAGCATGAGGATACATGCCGGATTGCCCAAATTTCTATGGGCTGAAGCTATCAACACTGCAGCTTACCTGATCAATCGTGGGCCCTCAGTTCCTTTGGATGGCGGAATACCAGAGGAAGCTTGGAGCAAGAAAGAAATAAACCTTTCACACTTAAGAGTGTTTGGTTGTATTTCTTATGTACACATAAACTCTGCTGAAAGAAGTAAACTTGATGCCAAGTCCAACAAATGCGTCTTTGTTGGTTACGGTGGTGATGAGTTCGGTTACCGGTTTTGGGACTACGAAAATCGAAAGATCATCAGAAGCAGAGACGTCATTTTCAATGAAAATGTGATGTACAAAGATAGGTCAACCGCAGAATCAAGTAATACCGAAGCTGAAACAAAGGAATTTGCTGAGTTCGAGGAGATATCTGGAAATGATGTTCAGATCAATCCTGAAGCAGTTCAAGAAGAACCAGGCACACCAGAACTGAGACGCTCCTCCAGAATTCCTAAACCAACCCAACGGTATTCTCCTTCTTTACACTACTTGTTGCTGACTGACAATGGTGAACCAGAGTGCTATGATGAAGCAATGCAAGTGGAGGATTCAGTCAAGTGGGAGTTTTCCATGAAAGATGAGATGGACTCGCTTATGTCAAATCAGACATGGGAATTAGCTGAATTACCACCAGGCAAGAAAGCGCTCCACAACAAGTGGATTTACAGGATCAAAGAAGAGCACGATGGGAGCAAACGCTACAAAGCAAGATTGGTTGTCAAAGGCTTTCAGCAAAAAGAAGATATTGACTACAATGAAATTTTCTCTCCAGTCGTAAAATTGTCTACAATCAAACTGGTGTTGAAAATTGTAGCTGCAGAGAATTTACATCTTGAGCAGTTAGATGTAAAGACAGCTTTCCTTCATGGTGATTTGGAGGAAGAAATCTATATGAGGCAGCCAGAAGGCTTCATAGAGGCAGACAAGAAAAACCTGGTATGTAGGTTGAAGAAGAGCTTGTATGGTTTAAAACAAGCTCCTAGACAGTGGTACAAGAAGTTCGATAGTTTCATGAGTAGCAGTGGTTTTATCAGATGCCAAGCAGATCATTGTTGCTACATCAAGAGGTTCGACAACAGCTTCATTATTTTATTATTGTACGTTGATGACATGCTCGTTGCAGGCTCAGACATGCAAGAGATTATACACTTGAAGCAAAAATTGTCGAAGCAGTTTGCTATGAAGGATCTGAGCGCTGCAAAGCAGATTCTTGGGATGAGGATCAAGAGAGACACAAAGTCGGGGACTTTGATGTTATCGCAGGCTGAGTACATCAACAAAGTACTCTCCAGGTTCAACATGCAAGATGCTAAACCAGTAAGTACACCTTTAGGTGTTCATTTCAGACTCTCCAAAGACCAATCACCAAAGACGGAGGAAGAACGTGCACACATGGTGAAGGTGCCGTATGCCTCAGCAATTGGAAGTCTGATGTATGCCATGGTTTGTACCAGACCAGATATTGCTCATGCAGTGGGAGCTGTTAGCAGGTACATGAATAATCCGGGCAAGGTACACTGGGAAGCAGTCAAATGGATCCTCAGATATCTTTGGGGTACCACAAATAAAGCACTTTGTTTCAAAGGTGGAGATATGATACTGACAGGCTATGTAGATGCTGACTTAGCCGGAAATGTCGACATCAGAAGGAGCACTACAGGGTATGTCTATACTCTAGGAGGAACTGCAGTGAGTTGGGTTTCTCAACTACAGAAGATAGTTGCTCTCTCCACAACTGAAGCAGAATATGTCGCTGTTACGGAAGCCAGCAAGGAGATGGTTTGGCTCCAAAGTTTCTTGGAAGAGTTAGGCAAGAAACAAGAAAACAATATCTTGTATTGCGATAGTCAAAGTGCTATCCATCTAGCAAAGAATCCGTCTTTTCATTCCAGGACAAAGCACATACAATTGAGATATCATTTTATCCGGTCTCTTCTGGAAGATGGGATTTTGAAACTTGAAAAGATTAGTGGAGCTCAAAATCCGGCAGACATGTTGACAAAGACGGTGACTACGGATAAACTGAAGTTGTGTTCAACTTCAGTTGGCATGCTAGAATAACAAGACCAGACATGCTGCTGCATTGATCGAGGTGTGAAGACATATTAAAATCAGTCTTCAAGTGGGAGATTGTTAAAAGTTTCAAAGTTTGGCAACCAACTTTGGAAAATGTTTTTTTCAAAGTTTGGTAAATGTTTCTTTGAAAAATGTTTTTCAAAGTTTGGTAAAATTTTGGTAGATGTTTGTTGAAAATAGGAATGGGTAAATTCACTTTAGTCATTGCACTTTAGGGTATTTTCAAAGATTAGTCTCTAAGTTTCTACTATAAATACCCTTACCCATTTAGCTTCAAAATCATCCCAAAACATTTCTTTCTTCCTATACTAGAGAGCTTTCTTGTGAGTAGTGAGTGTTTTGTAAACACCTGTAAATTTTCTCTCTTAGTAAAAGATCTGCAGCAGCCCGGAGACGTAAGCACAATTGGCTGAACTCCGTTATCAATTTTCGGGTATTATTTTTCTGCTTTTATTTTGCATTCTCACTAATATGGTTATAAGGAAATTAATTGTACTTGGTTTATTTCCTAACACCCCCACCACCCTTCTTCCATTTTGAAGGAAAAATTAACAATAGTAACAAACTTATTGCATAAAAATTGCTTTTTAAATAAAAAAATGGTGCCAATAAATAAGGAAAACGAACATACCAGGCAAAAGATGTATGAGGACACTAATAATTTTGTCAACGGAACTAAAAACCAGGCTACAACGCCAAACAATGAGTGCCCATGCTAATGGCCCCTGCAGTTGCATCCAAAGGAATGAAGAAAATTAAAAATTAACCATTCACCAATGAATGGTATGTAAGAGACCGAGTACTATAATTATCTTTACCTCAGCAAATGAGAAGCAAACCATGAAAAGCTTTTCACTTTTCGGATAAAGAATAAGGTCAAACAAGAAGATTGTGTTGGCATAATAGCAGAAATCCTAACAAATTGAAATGTACCAGCTTCATCAGTTTCTGATAAATTTCTTTTCATAGATTTCAATAACATGACCAAATTGCACAGAGATGCAACTTACCAGAAGATAGTAATGCCATTTCTTAAAGCGGTAATATATCCACCGAAGAGGAACAAAGATGACATAGAAGAAACAATACACATAAGGAATGCCTTGTGGCTCTAGAAATCAAATTCCAAAATGTATGAGTAAGCATATATATAATGGATTCCAGAGCCAAAATTTTCTTATAACCAATTCCATTAATTAAAGGCTATATTACTCACTCGCTCCCAAGAGAAAGCAAAACCCTCCAAAACCAAGAACCCCCAAAAGATGAGTCACCTAAACATAAGAAATCCAGAGAACAAAGGAAAAGGAATCCGAAATTGTAACTCCATTCCTACTATTCATAACGACAAATCCACCCGCCATACATTAATATGCGCGATTAAATACAACATGAAATCAAAGAAAGAACAACGAAACGTTTACCTTTTTTTTTATAGAATATTAGGCCTCGTTTTCTAATTGCCCACCATATTACAATAGTAACATGAAGGACAAAAGAAGAGGGAAAAGAGTGCCTACTACTTTTATTAATCAGGAGAATAATACACTGTCATCCCTTACATCAAACTTTAGAAGCCTTAATCCTAATTACATAAGACTTAAACACTTTTTCCTGCAGAAACTTTAACACTAATTACATAAGACAGAAAACAAAATCCCTGCAGAAATGTAAGGGAGTCTAGCACCCTAACACACCAAAAACATAGCCTAACGATCATCCTATACCGTCCTTAGCTAGTCTGTCCGCTTCCCTGTTAGCAGCTCTCAAGATTTGACTTAACATAATATCCTTCCCTTCTATTATAGAAACAATCTCCTTCACCAAGGATAGAAACATAGGGGAGCTTAGTTCTGGATTCTTGATCCACTTCAAAGCATTACTTGAATCCGATTCTAAAATAATCCTCTTATTAAGACCAACACCTGAATCAGACAACATGTACAACCCCTCTTTATCGCCAATAATTTTGCCATAATCGGAGGCCCCTCCAACCTTATCAGAGAACCAGTGAATCAACACACCTCTGCTGTCCCATATGAGTCCACCTATACCACCTTTATTCCAACCACTCACCATCGCCCCATCAACATTAATCTTTATGAATCCGTCTGGAGGAGAAACCCAACAAGTAGGTTTGGATCCACTTTTTTTCTGTCTACCAATCGAATCAGCAAGAGTTAAGTCACCCACTAGGGAGTCGAAAGAGATCTGCCCAGTGTCAAAACTAACAGCAAACCAAGAGACTGTTCGAAATCGAGCAATAAAGAACATCCTCACCACATCCAGCTTTCCTTTCATAAAGATAACCTCTTTCCTACATTTCCATATAGACCACAACACCGCCCTTAAGATAAATTTCCAAATACTGGAATTCTGTTGTAGCTCATCCCACATAATAATAAAATCTAAGATGTTATTAGGGATCACCAAAGAAACATTCCAAAAATTCGCAAATCTAACCCACAAACCCCCAACTACCTCACAATGCATAAAAAGATGAGAAACAGATTCCACAAACCTGCCACACAACGAACATAAAGGGTCTTCAATCCCAGCCACTCCTAGCTTCAACAATTTCTCTTTAACTGCCATTCTCTGATGAACAACTTGCCATATGAAAGTTTCAACACGTGGAGGAGTTATCCCGACCCAAATATATTTGTCCCACTTAGCCTGAATCCCCTGATTACCAGCCGTATCAAAAAAATTATTAATACAAGACTTAGTTGAAAAACAGTCCTCTCCATTCCCTAACCAAATCCAGTAATCGTCCTCCTCAAGAGAAAGTGAGATGTTATTCAACATAGAAATCAGCTGCAACCATTGTTCAATTTGATGAATCGCTCGTGTTCTTCAGCTCGTTTAGCGATCTTCACGGCATGTTTCGACAACATCTTCTTCGTTTGAACCGCTTGCTTAGACAACATTTCCTTCGTTTTCGCTACTTTCTGCTCCAAAAATCAAACGTAATCCCTCATTATTAAAAGAGCCAGCCAACAGCCAATGCCGAAACGCAAGATTTGATTCAAAAACGAAAACGAAGCAGGAAAACCTTACCTCCGATCGAACTTTGAATCGATGTTTCATCGGCCCGAACAGTGGATGACCGTTCTCGTTCAGGTCCTCTCCAAATTCATCACTGTTCGTCATTTTTGTATAGAAATCGAATGAATTCAAATCAAATCGAATAACAGGTGAAGAAAGACTATGGGAAAAAGGTGGTGGAGTCCATGTGAATGTTACTTTATTAAGGAGAAGAAAAAGTACATAAATGGTCCCGATTATAGGGTTTTATTTTATTAAGTCTCTCAATTATTAAAAGTTACAAAATGGTCTTCTAACTATAGAATGTTACTTTTTTAGTCTCTCGACAATTAAAAGTTACAAAATGGTCACCCGACAATTTATTATGTTCCAAACTCATCATTTTCTGTTGAAATTTTGACAATATTCTAAACTGAACGTTAACCTGCTAACTGTGATATGATAAAATATGATTTCAGAATCTAAGAAGATTATCATATCTCAGTCATCATATTAACGTCCAGCTTAGTTAATTTTAACTAAAAAGGATGAGTTTGGAATATAATAAATAATCGAGTGATCATTTTATAACTTTTAATAACCGAGAGACTTAAAGAAATAACATTCTATAGTCGAAGTATCATGTTATAACTTTTAACACTAAATAATTTCATCTTTCATAATTTAGAGCAGGACGAACACTCGGTTGGCCCCTTCCCAATCCTCATATGTTATGATGATAGCATAGATTACAGAATCATCACTCCAATTTTAAAATATATTATTTTTTTAATCTAAGTTTAGATATATATTATTTATCATTTTGATTGTATAATGATAATTATTTACCAATACATATGTATTATATTCAAATTTGTTAGTGATATAAATCGTCAGTTTCAAAATCTAAAAAAAATTATAGTTAAAAGATAATTAATACTATTATAAAAAAAGTTATAGTTAAAATTTAGGATAAAGTACATAAATAGTCTCCGACTATAAGATGTTTTGTTAAGTCCTCCAACTATTAAAAGTTTCAAAATGGTCCTTCGACTATAGGATGTTGCTTTGTTGAGTCCTTCAACTGTTAAAAGTTACAAAATGGTCACACGATTATTCATTATGTTCCAAACTCGTCCTTCTCCGTTAAAAATTGAAGGCAGTTTGAGCTGGACGTTAACTTACTGACTGGAATACGATAAAATCTAATCTCAGAATCTCAAACGACTATCATATCTCAGTTAGCATTTTGACGTCCAACTCATACGACTGTCAATTTTTTAACTGAAAATGACAAGTTTAAAACATAATGAATAGTCAGATGACTATTTTATAATTTTTAATACTTAAGGGAATCAACAAAGTAACATCTTATAGTCGATGGACCATGTTATGACTTTTAATAGTCGGAGAACTTAACAAAACAATATCTTATAATTAAGGTAGTTAACATCAACTAAAATATAATTTATGGCATCAACCTTGTCTCCTTATCTTATATGGCTATTCAATTTGTGTTATTTTGATTATTTTGTGTATTATAATAACAAATAAAAGAGATTTTATGTTGCTAATGCTTTGAATATTAATTTGAAACTATTCTGAAACCGGTTTACCACTCAAAAAATTACTTAATTAATTATACTTAAATTAAAGATAATTATATTTGAATATATTTAGATTTATGCTTTTTTTAATATTATAATAATGTATATTGTTGTTTATAAAAATAATATATATATATATATATATATATATAAATATAAGGATGAAGTACACAAATGGTCCACGAGTATATGATATTGTTTTATTAGGTCTTTCGACTATTGAAAGTTATAGAATAATCTTCTGATTATATAGTGTTACTTTGTTGAGACATTCAACTATTAAAGTTACAAAATGGTCGCACAACTATTCATTATGTTTCAAGTTCGTACTTTTCTGTTAAAAATTTGACTGTCATCTGAGATGGATGTTAACTTGATGACGGATATATGATAACCGTTTGATATTATTAGATTGAATTTTATCATACAAGTTAACGTTTAGCTCAGACAATCGTTAATTTTCTATAAAAAAAAGACGAGTTTGAAATATAATGAATAGTCGAATGATCATTTTGTAACTTTTAATAGTTGAGAGATCAAACGAAACAACACTTTATTAATTGAAAATTTGATTCTTAATTTTTAATAGTAGAGACTTTCAATAAAGTATCATCCTATAGTCGAAACTCATTTGTATATTTTACCCTAAATATAAATGTTATTTTTGATTGAAAACAATGAAAAAAAAATCTTAAAACTCAAATAATTGAGCCGGACACTACAGCCTACAGCTCAACATCTACAATAAACCATAAATAATATATCAAATCACATGTATGACATGGATAATTGCGAAAGGGTGACGTGGAGTTTTTGTTTCGTCCACGTGTACGGATTCAGTTGTCATTAAATTATTGGATTTGCTGCAATTTGAATCCACCGATTATGGTACAACGTTGTCGTGTAGGCGTGGGGGAACTAACCGGATAACCTTTCCCACCAAATCCGAAAATAACCCGATACAAGTTTACGGGTGATTTCATCCTATCCGAATTTGATTTGATTTTTTGAGATTTAAAATAAATATATTTACAAAATGTATTTTTTTTGCAATAAAAGGTAATTGAAAAAATAATATATAGATGATTATTATTATAATTATCTCTAAATATAAGGTAAATTTATATTATTTTTTCGAGTCGGGTTGAGTTGGTAAATTTATATTATTTTTTCGAGTCGGGTTGAGTTGGATATTTTCATCCTAAATTCGAATTCAAACTGACCTGAACTTTATTCTTTAAAAAGTCCAAATTGATCGAGTCGAATCAGATCGAAACCATCGAACTAGAATCGCATGCAGGGTATGCTTTCTCGTGTGCTCTTTGAGGAGTTTGATTCAAGTGGTTCAGTATCTTGGAAGTTCGGATGTTTACTTTGTTGTTGGTTCTTCTTTATCAAATATGGCATCGACGAAATGTGTTTATCCACGAGGGGCGTCTTCTACCTGGATGCCAATTGGTTGCTTCGACTAAAGCTTTGCAACAGACATATACTCGATCGGTTGCTGCTATAAATCTAGAAGTTGGCAGATCCACGATGTCGGCGTAGACCTTCACCGGGATTTATCAAGTTAAATGTGGATGGTGCACGTCCAAAGGACGATGGATCGGTGGCTATGGGAGCGGTGGTGAGAGGTTCTGATGGTTTCGTTTTGGCAGGTCGGGCTACATGTATTGATTGTCCTAGAGATGTGGGTTTCGACTTGTCACTGAACTGAGATGTACGAAGGTTATTGTTGAAAGTGATGCATCTAATTTCACCCCAAACTATGCGCATACTAATCACATCTCTTGTTAATAAAATTGATAGGCCAAAGTATATTATTATATGTTTGAAAAAAAATAAAATTTATGTTAAACTATGATTGAAGCTAATTACATATTTGGATGAATTTGAGGATGAAATTTGAATATTCAAAAGTTTGGGGACTAAATTAGAAAAAGAGTCATTGTTTAGGGATGAAATTAGAATGTTCGGAACAAAGTTTAAGGACTAACTTAGAATAAGAGTTATAATTTGAGGATGAAATTAAAATATTTAAACGTTTAACAACCAATTTAAAATGAGAGTTATAATTTGGAGATATGATGTAATTGACTCATAAAATTAATATGATAGTTTATAATATTTAATATAATAACTCGTAACATTAATATAATAATTCATATATTAATGTAATGATATATATATATAGAAAATAATATCAGTGACAAAAAATGCCTTATAATATACGATTTTAATCAATTTTTTTTGGATTTGCCAAAATGACCAACTAAATCGCAATGCGAAATTCGACTATCGCAATGCGAACTTGGACTATCGCAATGCGAATATGTATATCGCAATGCGAATATGTAAATCGTAATGCGATAGTCGACTATCGCAATGCGAACTTGGACTATCGCAACGCGAACTTCGACTATCGCAATGCGAACTTGGACTATCGCAATGCGAATATGTAAATCGCAATGCGATAGTCGACTATCGCAATGCGAACTTGGACTATCGCAATGCGATTTACATATTCGCATTGCGATAGTCGAAGTTCGCGTTACGATTTTCCAAATTCGTTGCGATAGTCGAAGTTCGCGTTGCGATTTATTCCAAATTCGTTGCGATAGTCCAAAATCGCAACGACTGGTGGTATTGCATTTGTTTCTTAAGAATTTTCTCTAAAAAGATAGTATTCGCGCGGACGTGTCGAATACACGTATTACCACGACCAAAATCACGACCACGACCCGAATATGTAAATCGCAATGCGATAGTCGAAGTTCGCGTTGCGAATCTGGAAACTGATTTGCGATACTGGAGATCGCGTTGCGAATTATCGATCACATTGCGATTTAGTTGGTCATTTTGGCAAATCCAAAAAAAGTTGATTAAAATCGTATATTATAACGCATTTTTAGTCACTGAGATTATTTTCTCATATATATATATATATATATAAAATAATAA